TAACGCGTCGGCCACCACATTCAACCTTCCGGGTTTGTACTCCACCCGGAAGTCGTATTCCGCGAAGAACGACAACCATCTCGCCATACGTTGCGAGATATGCGGCGACTTCACTGTCGTCCGCAGTGAAGCGTGGTCGGTGTAGACCACGAACGGTCTACTCCCAAGTAAATACACTCGAAACTTTGCGAGTGCACACTTCATGGCAAGGAGTTCCTTGTCATGCACAGGGTAGTTACGCTCAGCTGGCTTCAGTAACCGCACCGGCAAAGGCAGCAAAAGCAAAAGCATCAAAAGCGAAGGCACTATCTATGACGCCTGGAACCCCGAATAAAGCCCGTCAGCCAAGTGCAGCACAACAAACTCAGCTTGATGCGAGGGAGAGACAAGTGACTGCTGCTCTGCAACGTTGCCAAGACGCAGCGGAAGCCGAGCGACGTGGCGCGGTGGCGCTGCAAAATGCACGAGTGCGTGTTGCTGTGGATGAAGCAGAGAAGCGAAAGACATCTGAACGGCAGGTGACGAGACCGGATTCTACTGTCACATCATCCGTCAGCTGCTCACCGCGTACGTTGCTTCCGCCGAACAAGAAACGGCCCCAGGACACACAACGACCCGAAAGCGATGCTCCACTGCCACCAGCTCAAAGGTACATATTGCTTGTTGATGGATTATCCAGCATATTGTTGACTTCAATTCATGTTGTAAATGCAGATATCTACCACATGTTATCTAGACGAGACGATGTTATATCCAACGTGATGCTACATCCAACATATATCCGACATGGCGACATGGTGTCATTTCAATGCAAGATGATATGATATCAAGTCCAACATGAACCTCTGCATGGCAGATACAACATGTTGGTTATCCCACGAAGGATAACATGACTGTTATGGATTACCAGTACTAACGAAAGTTTTGTAATGCATTTTAGATCTAAAATATCCCAGTCGTTGCCTTGCGCCAGAACGATCGATCAAGCAACCGATCCTAGGGATTCGTTACGTGTCAGCGCTGAATATGAGGTCTTGGATTCCGATTGCGAAGGATCCGATGCGGAGTTGATGTTTATGGATGAGGACGAAGGATATCAGAGTGCTGAAACTGAAGTTGGTGATGATTCAACCAGTGAATCTGGAGACGATAATTTTTGTTGGTGAGCCGAGTATCAGTGACGGAGCTGCTGAATTACGTGGAGTTGAAGTTCTCGAGCAAGCCGATATGGATATAATTCGCTCAGAATAAAAGGAAGATGGCAGAAATGCGAGAGAGTGGGTGGACGTTTGGTAAGTTGGTAATATTGGGCTCCTGTCTGTTTGCTTACTCTAACTATTACTTGAAATGTTTTTGGGTTTTGATAAAACCTAGATCACCGCAAGTTTCCTCCTGACGTCAAGCACCCTCACCTGTCGACCGCAGCGCATGGCCTGACTGACGAAGTGCTATCCCTTGCGAAGTCGCCGTTGGATTTGTTTCTATTCTTCCTGCCAAAATCAATGTGGAATACAGTGGCTGTTAAGTCAAACCGCTACAAGTTGCAGCAGCTGAATGCTCGAGTTGAGCGTCTATACGAAAACCAGATTGTACCAGGAAAACGATCAAAAGAAGAGATTCTGAACCAGGAATCAAGAAAACCAGATATCAAGGCTCACGAAATTCTGCATGTGTTAGGCCTTATCCTAGCTCGGATGTTGAATCCACATAGACGGCATTTTCGAGACCACTGGGCCACATCTTTGAATGGAGCGCTCGCTCGTGGTACATTTGGCGCCTTCATGTCGCGGAACCGCTTCAGCCATATCATGGCAAATCTCCATTTCACTGACAACTCGGATGTTCGGGCTGCTACTGACAGAGCTTGGAAAGTCAGATCTGTGGTAGATGTTATGCAGAAAACATTTTTGCGTGGATACAAACCTCCTCCAGTACTTTCGTTCGACGAAGCAATGCTGCCGTCGTGAAACCGCAACAACCCCACTCGCCAGTACATCTCGGCAAAACCTCACAAATGGGGTACAAAACTCTTTTTGACTTGTTGTGTGGAGACGTCGTATTGTCTGCGGTGAGTTTACTCTCTATTTTGAAGATGTTGTATCTAACGTGATGTTTGCTAATGATCATGTTGTATCTGTGTGCATGAAGACTTGAGGTATATTGCGGAAAGGCACAACACAATGCAGAACTGGGAAATGTGCCAGAATCGGTTCGTTCGGTCGATCCAAACTCTGGACCAGCAGCAGTTATTCGAAACCTAGAAGCTGTACTACCTGCAGTTGAGGCCAACGTCTACCACGTCGTGGTAACGGATCGA